TATTTGGACAGAATGTTTTATCGATCTTACAAAAATTATAAAAATAAAACTAATGCTAATTGAATAATGTCAATAAATGAGTATTGTGCATTATACTATATATATAAATGTTATATATTATACTGTATATGCTATAAGCCAATCCACATCAGATGAAAACACCACAGATCTTTTCTCCATTGATATTAAACTCTGGATTTCTGATAGATAAGCAGAGAGATAGATATAACATATAAGCAGACACATGGATTCATACATGCAGAATTAAGTTTCATCTTCCAAGAATGCTGCAATATTACTGGTAGCCTTAGGCAAGCCACCACTTCTCATTGTTAACTCCTCATTTTTAAAAATGCACTAAGAACGTTCTGTATAGAAAAAAGAAGATCAAAACCTGTGTGCCATATAAATACTGAACAAAAATATGATGCACATTCACAATTAACAGAAAATACATACAATTCTTAGTTTTATTTGCAATGTTATTTTGTTTTAACACTATGCATGAAATCTATTTACATTTGAAATTGTAAAAAAAAGTATCTAAATATTGTACACTAAAAAAAGTATGAATACAGAGAGTATCTCTGTGTGCAAGTCTGATTTTGTTACTGATATTTGGCTTTTTCCACAGTGTATCTCTTTTGTACAGTTTTAGTTAAGCACTTAATTTGAATGTTCCTTTCTAGCAAATTGGCAGTGATCAAGAAGCTATAAACTCAGAGGTCTCTGATTTCCAGGGCTTTTTATATAAACTGGCCGTAGACAAACCACTTATCCTTATTTTACTATCTCCTAATAATAGTTATTTATTTATTACTATGTATGACACTCACTTTAGTGGTTCTAAATCAGGCATGCCAAACTGCTGGCCCACGGGCCGGATACATCACACAGAAACCGCACCCACCCCATTGCTGGCAATGGGGAAAAAGTCGTGATACGTCACACGTGACGTCACGGGTTTGACATGCCTGCTCTAAATGGATTACAAAAATAATATAACATACATAACTTTCTAAAATTATTTAAAAATTCTAAATCTAATGGTGTAAGTAAAGCATAACACTCCAATCTTTAAAGCCAACTCTAATGTAGAGTTGTAGTCCTTATCAGAAGAGGAAAGAAAACCAGAATGTGCTGTTGATGTTAGATATCATCATCATCATCATCATCATCATCATCATCATCATCATCACCATCATCACCATCATCATCCCAGCCATTGTCTAACCACTGCAGGATGAAGGCCTCTTCCAACCAATGCAGTCCTGAGCTTTCTTTTGCCAACTGGGCCTGCAATATTGGCTGATGTCATCAATATGTCTTGTTTTAGGTCTCTTTTGGGGACACTGTTTATCAAGTGTGATCCATTCTATGACTGACTTGGTCCACTTGCTATCAGTTCTTCTTGCTATGTGACCAGCCCATTTCCATTTCAATTCTTTTATTCTCTTGATGACATGATATGCTTTTGTTTGTTCTCTAATCCATGTGCAGGTCTTTCTATCTTTATACTCTGCAGATTGCTTTATTGAATACTGACTAGGCTGAGGAATGCTATATAGAAATAGGTGATGCTTCATCTGTTAGGATATAAATGGTTTGGATATAAAAGGATTTCTATATCACTGTAAGGATCTGCTGTAGGGCTTGGAAAGCAATAGGCAGTCAAAGTAATTTTTTTTAAAACAACAACAACAACACAGGGGTTTCATGATGCTCTTAGAGTTGTCCCTTGACACCATGTCATTATGTTTTTGGCCTGATGCAATTTCCAGACCATCTTTAAGGACCGCCCCATGAAGACTGTAGTACAATAAGCCTGGTTAATCTACAATTGGTTAATCAGTTGAAATTAATAAAAGACAGCCCCCCCCAACCCCATTCGCTATCATTGCTGTGCAATTGGATGTACCAGTCCAGCACTGAGTCCCTTGAATAAGCAACAACTCTGTCTAAATTCAGTTTCAGCTTGCTCTCCACATCTAAGCTCTGCCTATGGAGATTCGTGAAATATCCACCCCCAGGCTCTCAGGGAAAGGAGAAGTATACTTATATCTCCTCAGCACGCAAATGCAAATGAGCTCCAAATCTGCAAATGAGTGCTGCTAGTGACTTCAGACACATATTAAATAATCTGGGAGAGAAGACAGAATCTTTCAGGATAATTTGCAGGGAGATAAGTGAATGTCTCCCAGGATCATCAGATCATCTTCTGATAATGCCCAAAGAGATAGGACACTCCCGACTCTCAGCATGTTCCAGTCTGACTTGCTTATCCAGATGTTATGCGGATTCAGGGTTGCATAAATAAAAGGCAGGTTTGAGAGGTTTAGCAGAAATTTTGGGCCATAAATTGCTTTTGTAGCTATTTTCTCTTTTCAGGAAAAGAAACAATAAATTAATCTCTTCTGCAGGCATTCAGAAGAAGCATCATTGTTGCAATCCTTTTTCCTCAGTCGAAACTGTATAGTTTAAGAATGGTTTTGCCCTCAAAAATACCAGTTTTAAGATAGCTATAATTGTATTACAGATAGAAACAATAGCATTAACTTTAATGGAAAGAAATGTCAGTTCTTGGGTTTCATCTATTTGTTATCTTATGAGTCACTTCCAAAGCTTATGTTGGCTTAGCTTTTATACATCAAGGGACAGAAATAGAGAGTTATTTTTAAGACCAGTATTTGTTGGTGGACATGAGCATTTACCTGCCAATATCATGGGTATTAAAAGATAACAGCTGTCTATTGAAAATAGGCATTGCTAAGTCAGAACATAAATTAGAATGAGGTAAAATTTGTGCAAGGCAAACATTCATTTATCCACATTTTTTACCATGTCTTCTACACAGAAACATTTTGTTATTTCTGTTTGTGGAGCCCTAAAAGTGAAAGCAAGGTATGGAAAAGCAAGTAAGCAATTTCTTTTTTGCAGGATATTTAAAGTATTCGTTCTCTTTTTAAATGCTATTTTTAAAAGTAATAGAGAGGAAACCGGCAGGCAGGCAGTTTTCCCTTTTCTGTTACTGGGAAGTGAAAGGGGATGATTAACGAGAGAATGAGAGAGTCGTAGACAATGTAGTAGAAATGGGGGAGGGGATCATAGAATTTAAACAAAAGTGCCTTCAAGAATTTAGAGTTTTCCCAGGGATCTATGGTAAAACTTCAATTTGCCTGTCTACTGTTTCTAGTTTTGATTAAATTTATAAACTCAGCGCCACATATTTTTATGTGGTTTTGTAGCCCAGGGGCAGAATGAGATGGACTGCACTGAAACTGTGAAGCTTGTGAATTTAGGGCAAGGGACAGAGAGAAATAAGTAGTGTAATTGTTTTTGTCGAGTGATTCTAGGACCTCCTCTGTTCTGAATTACACATGGTTCAACTCTTTGACCTAACCAAGTTAGGCAGTGCCTGGTAGTTCTTCTAAAGCTATGCTGAAAGATTCTATCAATGGCATGCTGGAACATTATCTGTTACATGAGATATGTGCTAACAACCATATTAAACTACATTAATTACTACTGAGGCCAGATTTGTGGCAGTCTCAACTACATTTAACCCACCATCCTGTGTAGTCGCTTACTCTTTGGAAAAGTTGAACCAAAGGACAACTTGTTGAATCAACATTTAATGGCAGTATTTTGTCATGAATTAGCCATTTTAATGCTTATATTTCATGCTATTTTTCTTTCTTATGCTATTGGTGTCATGTTAAAAGTTTGATACTAGCTTGAAGTAAAAGCTTTAAATGCAGTGATAAAATCAAGTCAAGTCAATTGCATTGTTTGCTGTTTATTTTTTAAATGTTAATTCTTTAGTGTTACTTCTTCAGAAGTTTTTTTTCCAGTAATGTCCTTAAAACTTGGTAAACAAGAACATCATGTGATTATTTAGAAATTTATTTGAATCAATTGGAATACATATTATGCCGATAGAAAGGGAATGCTTGTATATTATATTGAATTATATACACATCTATGCACATCTATACAAACCAAGACACAGACATACTCTAAAAGAAATTCTGACGTATATACTGATATGTTATATAGATAGTCCTCAACTTACAACAGTTCATTAGTGACTGTTCAAAGTTACAACAGCACTGAAAAATCTGACTTATGACCATTTTTCAGACTTAACAACTGGTGCAGCATCATCTTGGTCACATGATCAAAATTCAAGATGCTTGGCAACTGGTTCATATTTATGACCACCGCTGTGTCCCAAGTTCATGTGATCACTTTTTGCAACCCTCTGACAAGCAAAGTCAATGGGGAATCCAGATTCACTTTGCCACCCTGTTACTAATTTAACAAGGACAGTGATTCACTTAACAACTGTGGCAAGAAAGGTCATAAAATGGGGCAAAACTCATTTAACAAATATCTCACTTAGCAACAGAAATGTTGGGCTCAATTACGGTCATAAGGAAGTAATTAGGAAGTATATTAGGAAGTAATTCAGACGTGTAATGTATTATACTATAACAATATTTAATATATCACTTGAAGAACTTTGTTCATTGTAGGTTCTGTATATTACACTTCTTTATTTTTTGGGTGCATTTTTGAGTCCGTACCTTTGACTCCTGGCGACTGCTAGAATAGAACCTGCACATATGGGAACCTCAATTATTATTTAGAATTTTTATTTGTAGTCGTTTACTTTTATTATAGTTTTTGAAAAGCTGATGTTGACTCAAAGAAGGGCATAAACATACGATAGGATGAGGTTCCATCCATATTTACCAGAAAGCACGGTTTCTGTTTTAAATTTAAATATTTGTATTTGTTTAATATAAACACATATTAAATATTTGTTTATTGAAATGAATTAAGAAGCAACAAAATGTTCCTTTGTGCCATTATTTTAATCCTATGAATATTTTAGAGATTATTAAATTCTTTCAATCAATGTCTGGACAACTTGTATCTAATTAACCCATCTCTTTTAGCTAGTTAAGATTCCAGAGCTACATAAGATTTTAGGAGTTATGGTGGACAAATCTACAGAATTTGTTTGGTGGTGTTTGAAGCAGTTATTCATTTCAAGCACACCTGAAGTTGTTCATTTTAAACTCACAAAAGAGACCGTATATGCCAATTTGGGTCTAAATCCAAAGTATGCGTTTCCTAACAGTAACTAAAGTTCCTGTTAGGAAACGCATACTCTGTCACTGCAAAGCCTGTCTTCATTTTTTGCTTTCAGCCTGCATGGGGACTGCTGTCTGGAAGTGGTAACTTTAATTCAGATTCTAAGAAAGCCGATGATCTCTGTTGTGAGCTTTACCAAGACGCTAAGGGTAGGAAAAGACAGCTCAGAGCACAGCTTGTTTACAGCCAGACGGGAGAAAACAGGGAGACACAAATGTGGGCTGACGTTTTCATGAAGCACAATTGGTTGACTGCAGATTCAATCTGACTGCCCTCAACTGAGCGATGATCCGTACAGTATGCAAAATTCACTTTCTTGCTGGTTTGTGCCCACCAGCCTTGTAGCAGCTTTTGCAGAACCCCTGGGCCATGGCTTTGAATGGAACCAGAACTGAACACAGCTTTCTTGTACCCAATTTCTTCTGACAACAATCACATTATTTTAAAAACTTCTTCGGTTTTAGTTGTCACTGGTTTTATATATATATATATATATATAAAGGTTTTTTGGGGGTGGTGGGGGTGGTAACATAAGTACAGCTATTTCAATTCTCGCATTTTGCGCATAGACATTACAAAGTTGCTTTGTTTGCTACTTTAAACTATACGGATTGACTCATCCTTCAAAATAATGTGTTTTTTTTTAAAAAATCATAATCTTTGAAGATTTGGCGCAATGAATGGAAAATATGTCGATGTGTCCTTTTTAAAATATGTGCTGTTAATTTAAGAGGGAAAAAAATGAAAATAATCATCAGATAGATTGGTGAGTCCCAGAAAAGGGTTGTTGAACTGTCACAGATAACATAGAATTAAGTTTGATTCTTCCTCTTTCTCTTCCTCTTTCTCTTTCTCTTTCTCTTTCTCTTTCTCTTTCTCTTCCTCTTTCTCTTCCTCTTCCTCTTCCTCTTCCTCTTCCTCCTCCTCCTCCTCCTCCTCCTCCTCTCCTCCTCCTCCTCCTCCTGACATACATACATTATTTCAAGTCATAATATGGGAAGAGTTGCCTCATTTCTTTTAGTTCCAAAACATCCTTGAGAGAGCAAAGCCATTGGTGTCTTGAATGAAACCTTGACTGGCCTTGTGCGATTGCCTTAGAATTAGAAAAAGTTCACCAAGTTGGAGCAAATAAAACATAAAGGTTATTTTAAAATATGGTGTTGTAAATGACAGCTAATGTTCAACTTGATATGTAAGACATTAAAGGCATGAATTAAGTATCAGTCTTAATTAAATGTGTTTGAATTGACTGTTGATGATTAATCTTATTTATGAAAGCAACGAATGCCTTAATATATCAAATTATCAGTATCCTGAATGTTTTGAGTTTTTCAAAAGTAGAGATCTGAAGTTATGCAAACAAATTCTGGCACTGTAACCTACTTAGGACACTAAATATCATAAGCCTGATGGTATTTTGAAAGTACTGTATTTGGAAAAATACAGGCAGTCTCTTTCCATAATAAACACTTGACTAAAATGATCCATGGGGATAACCACACTTCTACATTAATTCAGTGGAATGATTCACGAGAAAGCATTTTATTTTTAATCAGTTTAAAGCAGTATAATCTAGGATAGAGACCCCCAACCTTTTGGGCACCAGGGACCAGTTACGTGGAGAGAGGTTTTTCCATGGATCGGAGGGTATGTGGTTTTGAGTGCTGCCTGCATCCCGCAGATGGTGCTTTGCTTGTTTGTGCGGCCCGGTTGCTGGCATACCATGGCCCAGTACCGGTCTGCGGATTGGGGATTGGGGACCCCTGATCTAGGAGACATATTTTATATAATATTTCTGACCCAAGTATTAGCTGACCCACTAAGATGCTTCAATTCAGTGAAGTTAATATGCAGGATGCATTTGTGTTTATAGGCCATGCTTCTAGATTTACTCACCACTATCTTCACATTGGGCTGGCAAAGTAGGTGTCTGAAATTCTGAAGTACAGTCAACTTCAAAAACAGTGAACTAGGTGATTCCATGATCTTATTCAGTAAAGGGCAATGTGGTGGCAGAATTTTCTATATAGGAATTCACCTGCCTTCTGATCTATCCATTCCCCATTTTCCAGAATGTTAAAAAAATGCGCATTCCATCTACCGTAGTTTTTATTTTTAATAACCCTTGCAAGAATCTACAATGTTTATCAGTAGCATTATACTAATTGTTAATTGGAGGGTTGAAAAATTGTAAGATGGTAGTTTACTTAAGGTCACTTACTGATTCTTGGCGGTTCATTATGAAATTCAGGATTATTTTTCAGTGTCCTTGTGTCTAGTTGTTTTGGCCTGCAAATACTCTATAGCGCCGTCTTAAGGGGAGGAGTTGAAACAGTTTATGTCCAGGATGTAAGGAGTCTGCAGATATCTTCTCAGCTCTCTTTTTATATACAGGTCTTCTATGGAAGATATAACAGGTAAGTACAATCATGGAGGGAGGGAGTACAGGGAACTATGAAAATTTCAGAGTAAAAGGGGTGCCTTTCCTTTTGATGGAACGTCTTTGTTACTACAGTAATACTAAAAACAAAGAGGCAAATAATTTACTCTTGGTAGCATCACTTCAAACAATTTTTCTTCTTGTTGGCCAAATGTCTGTGAATTGAGAACCACAGGACTCTGGAAATGGGTGATAGTAAGACAAGAAGTAGAGAAAACAATTAGCTAATTCCATCTTTTAAAAATGAGCCCCCTCACCAATTAGAGCAGATTCCTACTCAATGTCACTTGACCTCCATTGAAATAACATGTCCAGATCTCGTGTTAACATCCTTTGTATATGAATTGCCCTCTGTTTTCATGGAGTTTTGAGCATAATCAAAATAGAAAAAAAATAGTGTTTCCTATTATTTCAAGAATATGTCTAACTCAAAGATAGTGATTTTGATTATATTAATAGCTTTTTGATTTGGTTTATAAATGCTTTAATGTAACTGGCCCCCAGCATACTAAAAAGCAGAGACATCACCCTGCCAACAAAAGTACGTATAGTCAAGGCTATGGTTTTCCCAGTTGCAATGTATGGCTGTGAAAGTTGGACCATAAGAAAGGCTGAGTGCAAAAGAATTGAGGCCTTTGAACTATGGTGCTGGAGAAGACTCCTGCGAGTCCCCTGAACTGCAAGGGGTCAGTCCTAGAGGAGATCAACCCTGAACTGCAAGGGGTCAGTCCTAGAGGAGATCAACCCTGAACTTCAAGGGGTCAGTCCTAGAGGAGATCAACCCTGACTTCTCTTTAAAAGGCCAGATCCTGAAGTTGAAACTCAAGTACTTTGGCCACCTAATGAGAAGGAAAGACTCACTGGAGAAGAGCCTAATGCTGGGAAAGATTGAGAGCAATAGAAGAAGGGGACGACAGAGAATGAGGTGGCTGGATGGACTCCAGAAGATGGTAGAGGACAGGAAGACCTCGAGGAAAGTTGTCCATGGGGTCGCGATGGGTCGGACACGACTTCGTAACTAACAACAACAACAAACTGGCCCCATTGAAAAGAGAAAGAATTACAAATATATTTAACATATTACATCAAACATCTCCTACCAAATACTAGATACAAAAAGGATGAAGATTTTTTCGGAAATATAATTGATGTATTCTTTTAAGTGAAGAGTTTTAATGTGACCTTCATTTGGCATTTGTTTTACTTTTCTTCTCTTTTTCTTATTTATTTTTCCACTTCTGTTGTTGAGTTAGTAGTTGACCTCTTTAATGGAGATGTAAATGAAGTGACATTTCAATGCCATCCCATATTTAAAATACTGTGTTAGTTGTGGCTCTTAAAGGGTGATCTACATTCTTAAGCTCATTTATTCACTTAACAATTTCCCTCCAGAAGTTCCAACAGAAGGCTCTGAAACAATCTAAGCAGAAGAAATCTAAGTCGTCTGACTTTCTGATGGCTGAGCTTTGCTCGATGAGTTATTGCTCATAATTTGTGTAAGGATTAATTAAATAATTACAGACAAATGGCTGTAGGCAATTTTTTGTTCTTGCTTGTCAGAGTGCTGTTTGTAATTATTTTAATCATTTGTCCCCCCTCTTTTTAATAAAGAGTTAATTTTAATTTAATTCCATTTTGGTGATATTTGATGCTGATACCACACAAAAGTAAATGAAGGATTAGAAGGAAATCTCTCCTTGTCTTTGTCTTGGGTACACTTTTGACCTTGTTGCTTCCCCCCCTCCAATAGCAGAAGATGAGAAAGTTGCAACTGAAGACTTTGAAAACCCAGCTTTTAACATCAGCAATACTGATATTTCAGCACATCAGACTTACAAGGTGGGACTTATTAGACCTGACAAGCTGACTAGTAGTCTTGCAGCTCACCCACAAAAATTCAGGTTGCAAGCCCAAGCTGAACCAAGAGGTGAGATTTCACTCTTGATCACCATCAGCTTGAGTGACAATGGTTATGTCCTTGATTTAACCTGTCCATTCCATGTTGACTCAAACATTGTATCATGACTCTTTTTTCCTATGTAGGTTGTCCTAAAATTGCTGTGTTGAAACTGAAAAAAGAATATTGTTGTTGAAAATATAATTCTTCGTAGAATAGGTATTTTTTTTATGACTTGTAGTTTCTAGAGAAATGCATGTTAGAAGAAGCTTCATCAAAAGTATCTTTCTTTGTATTGGATTGCTTTGTAAGTTATGTCAAAAATAAAAAAAATCCTTTTGATGTTAAAGAAACTAATTTGATGTTGAATTTAATAACAGCAGCAAGGTTGTTGGTAGGGCAATATTGGAAGAAAGATTCCTTGCCGACTATAGAAGAATGGACCCTTAAGGTCTCAAATTTAGCAAAAAAGGCAAAAATTTCGGCTTATTTGAAGGATCATTCACAAGAGAGAGATATTTCGGTTTGGAGAAGATGGATAGATTATATTCAGAATAAATATGGGACTAAAAAGTTCCATTTACTTTATGAATAAATTTTAGAATATTATTATTGTTATTATTATTAATAGTTTATTATAGTGAAATTTTTTATTATGTTGTATTGTTTAAGAATTAGGATTTTAATTTATTTATATGATCAAGTTTATTTGCAAATTGTTTATTCTGTGTTAAAGGGGAGTTAAAGCGCATTATATTTGTTTATCTATATAGTTGGTTAATGTTAGTTAGATTATGATTATTATATTTGTTACCCTGTATTCAGCTCTGGGAAGTGGGGGAGGGGGAGGGGAGGGTGGGTAGGGTGGGTGGGTTTTGGGGTATATTTTGTAATTTTTGTAAAACTTTTTAATAAAAATAATAATAATAAAATAATAAAAAATCCTGGAATTCAACATGATAAAGGGCAGGATAGTTTTTTCACTACAATAGTATCAATCTTAAAATAAAATATATAAATATAGATATAAATGCTTTCAAAATGCTGCTTGTCAGCCAATGATTACCTTTTTAATTTATGAAGTATTTTATTCTTATGTATACTATAACTGAGTTTTTGTCATCACAGTTCTCTGCATAATGTTCATACTGAGGCTAGAGATTTTAAGGTTGAAATATACTAGATCATCTCAGCCAATCCAAGTAACGTAATTGCTAAAATGCTTCAAAATAAGAATATTCACAATTATATGGCACAGTGAATGTTTATTAAATGCTACTCTATGCAGTTACATTTTCAGCAGCCTTAGCCTCATCAATTCTGCAACTCAGAATATAATGGCTTTTTTGATGATAAAATAAAAATAATGTTTGTGCCAAGCAGGGAGGGATGAGATAGGGTGGTGAGACAGAGTTAGTATATCATCTGGCAAAAAGAAGCAGAGTTACTGTGAGTCTTTTCCCTATTATGTTACAAAAATCATCACCTCACCTCTCTCAGCTTAAGGTTGTAGCTGTGGATTATTTGGTTTACATCTTTCCAGTGGGAACAGGAAGGGGATAGTGAATAATAAACTCCACATCAAGATACTGCCAGATTCATGAAACAGTGACTTCCATATAGATCAGGGGTCCCCAACCCTCAGACTGCATGAAGCTAAGCTTCATCTGCACATGCACGGAATCTAGGTTATACACGAAACCATCCCCCCCCCTCGGGTCATGGAAGACAATTTTTCTTCCAAAATTGGTCCCTGGTGCCAGAAAGATTGAAATATCAGGCTTCTTCAGTTTGGTTTAATCTCTGTAATTTTAATCTGTTTTTATATTTTATAATTTTTTTACTTCCATATATTTTATTATGATGTAAGTTGTTCAGTGTTGCCTTGTACCGCAAGACAAGTGGCATATAAATGTGACTGATAAATAAATAAATAAATAAATTTGGACCAATTATTCTAGTAAATGTCTTATCTGATATGCATTCTATTTATTAAGATGTTCTACTGTTGACAAAAAGATTTAAAAATTACAGTGATTCCTTGTCCATTTGTATCTCTTTTTTTCCCTTTTGGCTTCAAGAATACAGTAAAGGATAAATGGTCTAATATGATTTATTATTAGGCTCTATTAATATGATATTTTTTTAAAATTCATCCATCCCCACAGATCTTGCATAGCATGATGTCCTCTCTTGCATGCATTTAAACAGAGCCACCAGTAGAAATTTCCTCTAAAAGGAACATTTATTGTACAAACAACAATAGATATGTAGACAGTTTTTGAAGCATGGAAGATGACAAAGAGAATCTGGAGCAGTTTGAAACTCTCTAGTTAGAAAGGATTTGGCTTTTTCTATGTTCAAGAGAGGCCTTTTGTGGCAAGTCTGAACAAAGAAAGAACTTACATACAATAAATTGTTGAGAACAATATGTCAGGATGCCAACTGCTGCAAAATGGATTATGTTACCGATGTTTCATTGCAATTGACTGCTATAATGTTAAAAAGGTATCCACCAGTACAAATGTGAATTGATTCAAGGCCAGTCTATTTAAAGACCTATTTGTATGTATGAAAGTACTGATCAGGAGCATGATTAGCACTGAAGAATTTGCATCACATTTTCTCTTTTAATGTTCAGCATTAAAATCTGCAAGAAAGGATGTTCTCACGTCGCTTTGTGCTAGAGGAAAACAATTACGCTGAATAAGGTAGACTAGCTCTGTTATTGCAGTACATAAGACTTTGATTACATGCTGCCAGGATTCATACCAGCCTAGTAGTTGTTGACAGATAAAGTAACAAAAATGAAACTCATTTATTTTTTTTCTTTATTGAGACCTCAAGGTAAAGCAAATTTTCAGGTCTTGTACTTACTGCATGGAAAAAAATAGACCCTGACAGTGTGCCAGTCCAGAAATCTAAATTAAACCTAGTCTCATATCAAAGTTTCATTTAGTCTCCAAGAAAGAGCTGCTGCTGGCATTACATTTTTTTTTAAGTATAGCAAAAGTAAATACATTATATTGTTTCTAGAGTATTTCTAGGCTTTGTTTTCCTTGTCATATCTCTTTGATCCTTGCCCGTGTCTCTGGGTGTGTGCTTTCATTTTCATTTATTTTATCTGAGGGAAGATTTTTGAAAAATATAAGAACAAATGCCTTTATTTTCACATCCCAAATGCGTATTCCAGTCTTGTGGTATATGCATCCCACGAATGGTAAGATATTCCTTTATTTCATTCCTGTAATAAAGTAATAACAGAATAAAAAAAAAGTAGTGTTCAGAATAAACCAAGCAAAATAGTTAGCTGATTCAGCTGTGAAGCTTACAATTGCGGTTGGTCTACTTAACAAGGCAGAACACAATTGCTTTGCTTAACTGTAGCACCCTCACGATTGTAGAGAAGGACCATTGCTACAGAAGGATTGCATCTTTTCGATTCGTGCCTTTAATCATTACTACCATGGAAATCTGCTTGCAGCTCAAAACTACCCCCCTCACTCCCGTAGTAGTAGTAGTAGTAGTAGTAGTAGTAGTAGTAATAGTAATAATAATAATAATAATAATAATAATAATAATAATAATAATAATAATAATAATAAAGTTGGAAGGGAGCTTGCAGGTCATCGAGTCCAACCCCCTGCTCAGGCAGGAAACCCTACACCAATCCTCTTATAGATGGAGAATAAGAGTAATATTGGTGTCACTTCTCATTCAGCCATATTATCTAATGTAAATGTTAGCCTGCTTCTACAGGTACTCCTCAACTTACAACAGTTCATTTAGGGACCATTCAAATTTACAACAGCACTGAAAAAAGTGACTTATGACTGTTTTTCACAGTTACAACCATTTCAGCATCCCCCAAGGTCATGTGGGCAAAATTCAGACACTTGGCTCGTATTTATGATGGTTGCGACCTTTTGATGAACAAAGTCATGGAGAAGCCGTATTCATTTTACCACCATGATACTAACTTAACAATGGCAGTGTTTCCCTTAACAACTGCGACAAGGAAGGTCGTAAAATGGGGCAAAATTCACTTAATGAATGTTTCACGTAGCTACAGAATTTTTTTGGGCTTAATTGTGGTCATAAGTCGAGGACTACCTGCACTTCTCTAAGGATACCAGGAGATTCATTACTGGAAAATAATAAAGAACCCAACCTGTTTATTTTGTAAAGATTAGGGATTATGTCAGCTGATGTCCTCCTCTCACTTTTAAAAACAAAATATAAATTTCCTTAGTTCCTGAAGCACTGTGTACACGCAGCTATGGAAATGGAAACTGCTAAATGAGTAGTTTTATCCCATCAAATTGTTATGTGGATGCTGAGCCCAAGTTAATACAATTGCGGCTCAGATTAATGAGGCAGCATTCACAGCATCTCCTCTGTAATTAAACACTTCCATGGTTGACAATAGTATTAAAGATGCAGCAGATGTTGAAAGCTGAGTGGTGAAACTTAAAACTGTTAAAATTGAAGGGGTCACCTGTGAAACACAATTTTCTTAACAGTTTCTTTTAAAGCCCTGTCTCAAGAATAATTTTGGTTTAGGAGTATAGGGTTAATGGTGTTATTTTAATCAACCTATCATCTTCATTTGAGAATTTTCTCATTAATTTTTGAGCAAAAGTAACATAAACTGAACTTGTTTCCAAAATTACCTTTTCTGACCTTTTCCTAGATGATAATTATGAAAGCAGTCAGCTTAGAAGAATTTGTATTTTTTTTTTTTAAAAAAATCTTATAAAGTAGTAGCAGAAATGCCCCTCTTGCATGCTAGTGTTGGATTTCAAAATTAACATTTTGGTTCATGTGCTTCTAATAATCACTGACCCTTACTTCATGTACTTTCCACAGGAAATGAATGCAGCAGAAATTACTTTGACCCTCTGATGGATGAGGAAATAAACCCAAGGCAGTGTGGGATAGAGGTCAGCAAAGAAGGTGAGGCAGAATTAAGTATGTAATTTTTGTGTCAGAATATTCTTTCCCGTTCATGGAAATGAGGTGACAAAGATCACAAATTCGGTTCCATTTAAATATCCAGCTTACAATTTAAATTATAAGTTTTAGCTGCTCTAAATGTGATCGGAAGCTTTGGGAGTCTTTGATGAAGGACAGTGTGTTAGTGGACAATAGTACAAGCAATTGTGAGCTTCATTTGTTCTGGCATTGTGTTTACAGATATGCTAAGCCAAGTTTCTTAAGTGTAGCTGAAGAATGGAAGTAGGAAATGTCTGCTAAGCATGTTAACTAATTAAAAGTATTTAAAATACCTAGTCAAAACTGGTATAACAAGATGTTCAATATTGGCTTGGCTTTGAATAAAGGTATTGTGGATCTACAGGTATTATTGTGTGATCTCATACTTGGTTCTTTTGCTGAGAAAAAGAAATATTTTCTGAGGCCTTAAATCCTGCTATATGAATGGAATGCAGAGCAAGTAAAAAGACCACATTCATATTTAATTTTAAATATTCCTTTTTGTGGTTCACTTAAATATATGGGTCTTGTTAAAACACATTTTAAAATTGCTTTGGCACTTTTAATTGTGGGCATGAGTAAACAGAAATCTTCTCTAATCTGGCCCCATTTTCAGATATCCTGGACTCTGACTTCTAGAATTCACCTGTCTCACCAAGAGTTCAGGAAAATACAGTCTAAAGGTCTGAAGACCCTATATCAGGGCAGGCGGATACTGACAAAATTGATAGATGTACACACACACATACATATGAAAAAAGTTACAGAATGTGTCTGATCCTTCTGTTTATTTGCTCTCTATTATTTATTTAAAAGTAACAGTTATAAAGGTAGAGCTACATCTACTTGATCTCCATTACTGATTGCTGCTTCCTTATAAAATGAGCTTAGGATGAGGCCTTGCTTCCTACCTCATAACTGGTCAGGAAGAGTACCACTGAAAAACAGTGCCCCAATTCTCACTCTCCTGCCCCCCCATCTGACCCAGAAGGATAGGAAAGGTATGATGGCATTGAAACATTCCAGAAAATTCAGGAAGGTCAGGATGGATTTACCATCCCATTTCATATTCTCAAAGATCATGAACAAAGATGACCAATGCTATTTCAGTACTATCACCTGGTCTGAATCCTGACTGAAAAGGGTCAGATAATGTGCTTCTTTTTGGGCTTTCTGAAGCTGGAGTGGCCATTATCTTTTCAACAATCTTCCCTGAATGAAAAAATAAAACCCCACACATAGTTGGCATCTTGAGAAAGGCAGGTGGAACTATACCCTCCCACAAAGAAATATTAACCAAGGAAAATATTTGTAGCTCAAGGTTGAAATGAGGGATCCTTGATGCTTTCCGAGCTTGTTTTTTTTCTTGCAGACTTTTAATTACTCAAACTAGGTAATATCATCAGCACTAATGATGAGCACCAAGGACCCACATTAAACATTGTTTGGACCCAATGCATGTCACTTCCCAAGAAGCCATAACTCAGTGGTTCTCAACTTGTGGGTCGGGACCCCATTTGGGGTCGAACGACCATTTCACGGGGGTCACCAAACAAGGCTGTCCGCCATTTTTTCCCCTTTTCTTTGGCCACGCCCCTGGCACCTGGTGATATATAAGTGGTTGGGGGTCACCACAACATGGGGAACTATATTATGGGGTCGCGGCATTAGAAAGGTTGAGAACCACTGCCTTAACTAGTCAGGAAGATGAAGAGGTCCCGAGCACAAGTGGTAAAACTCATAGCAGCAAGCAAAGGTGCGTCATGGTAACTTCCATAAGACCTCTCTATTAGACATGCTCATTAACTAGGTCTAAGCTGTTAGAAACTTTTGAAACAAGTCTGAAAACCCAGATGAGTTGGCCTTCAATCCAGAATGAAAGAAAAGTGTAATTGTAAGTTTAAGAATTGAAAGAATTACAAATAAGCAGCAAAAAAAAAAAGCTTAATAAGATTTTGATCTCAGTATGGGGATAATTCCTAACGCAAAGGAATTCCTAACGCAAAAAAGCAAGACTATTTTTCTCTGAATGCAAAAAGATACAAGATACAAAATCACTATTTGGCTACTGTTTTAGTACAGCGTGTCTCCTTGTTTCATACTCATGATTTCCAGTTATTCCATTACTAATATTTTTAATGGAGTTATGTTTTCCCCGATTTCCCTTTCTTGTCATTTATTTTATGAAGATTCTGCAGCCGTACAATTCTTGTAGTATGTAATAGCAATAACACCTAACTTATATACCCCTTCACAGTGCTTTACAGCCCTCTCTAAGCAGATTATAGAGACAGCATAGGGCCCCCAACAATCTGAGTCCTCATTTTACTATCTTGGAAGGATGGAAGCTGTGTCAACTTTGAGCCAGTCAGAACGAATTCTTGGCAGTGAGCAGTGAGCCTGCAATACTGCATTCTAACCACTTTGCCACCACTGCTCAGTCAGTTATGGCCAATTCTGTCTATTTAAATGCTTTATTATATAGTTTCCTAAGATTTTAACTCTCTGAATTATCTCAATGTATCTGATTTTACTTCTTGTAGCACTTGTCAAGTCAGATGAGATATTCCTGTATGACAAACAGAGGCGGCTTATAGATAAAGGGGGAAAAATGGTGGTGTCACATGGTAAATTTATTATAATACAATTTTCATTCAGAAGATGAAGTATGCATATTTGTTTCATTAATATAAAGACTATGAGTAAGAACTGGTTCACTATTTATCCATAATTAGGTTTCTGCATATCAGCCTTCATAAATGGATACCCTCCAATTATTTGGGTTACAGCTTTATGATTGCTAGCCATTATGTCCAACATTTCTACAGGGTATTGAGTTGAGAAGGTTGCATTTTACAATTATTCTGCCTCCATAACCAGACTTGATAGCTAGAAGTTGAAGTGTGAATTATTTGCAGAACCTTATGAGTAAAACATAACAGAAGTTCTGCCTGTGGTATTATGCAAAAGATCATTCATGAAAGCAAATTGTAGATACTGATGTAATCCAGTGACCATTTGCATATATAAATAAACCAAAATTAATATAACAGATACAGTAAAAATTGGGAAATAAGATTCAGTACATAACATCTTAACTTAAAACAGGTTTTAAAACAGTATTTTATTTCTCTTTCCAGAAGAAGCATATAAATAATATTAAAAGTATAGTGTAGTATCAGCATTAATAATTATAAAAAAGTTAAATAAAAAAATGCTTGGAAAATGCTACTGAAATCACATTTCTCCTAAAATTCATGATATTGCTCAACTCTTCCTTCTTTGGTCCTTTATCACAAGGAGCAAAGGAGGGAGAACTAATTCAATTGACATTAAATACTCTATTCCATAACTTGTACTTAGTAATAAAGAATTCAAGACAGCATCACACAACAAAGGGAAATAAGAAGCCAAGCACAAAATTCATGTTCAATGCTTTGCCTATTTTCATAGAAAGAGCATGCTCCGTAGAAATTGATTTTCTGTCTTAGTTTCTCAGAATCCTCATTTCCTAAAGATTCCAAAATATTAATCTGAGGCTACTGTTTTTAGCACCAGCCCCTGGACTTCTGCCATACTTTGTTTTTAAAGGACCAATCCTTTTCTGTATCCAGCAGGAGAAGGGACAGGGTTAATATGTCACTATATGTGACAAAGAGCAATGTCTCACTCATGGGATGAGTGAGATATGTAGACAAATAAACTATGTTCACTTCAATTCTTCAATTCTTCTTCAGAATGTTTGATTATACAAGAAAAACATTTTAAATCCTGATATTTTTTTTAAGTACAAGGTTTATGCCCTTGGCACGTATCTTGACATAAATTTAATCAAGAAGGAGCAATAATCAGATAATAAGCATGATCATATACAATTTAGAGATTTAATAAACCATTTCAGTTCAAGGAAAATGTTGTGGGAAAATTTTTAAAAATTCCTAGAATTCATATAAAAAAAGAAGGTAATAGATTTTTGCCTAGTTTGAATCAGGGCAAAAAAAATCAATTAAATATCTGATATAATTAGAAGCTTAATAATCTATATAAAGCCATCCTGTGTTGGTACCAAAACATGGAAGAACAGACTGCAGTTAATAGGCAAAAGTAATTGTTAAATCTTGCCACATTTAACAAAGAAACAAATCTCTAATCAGAAAGTGTATTTAAGTTCCTTGTCCAGTTTGGATAAATATTAAAACTAAATAAATAGGGATTTGTTTCATTGTATATAACCAATAAAATAGGAGAGTAAAGCCAAAACAAATTTTGAATCAATTACTGGGCCAATTGTAGCAATAGTTTCTTGGAACAAAAGACATAAAGCAAGATTACTACCTGATGTGGTGATTAGGTCACTTACATTTATAAAACACGCCAATAGTTTTGGGATGTAATACAGCTTCTCCAAGATATCCTCAGTTTGTCTGTCAGCTTATTCAGTTTGTATAATTCTCTTTTTGCAACAGAGACTTCTCTTTAGTTGCTGCAATTTTTCAGTTGGCAACATCAGAATTTCCATTCCAAATGCCTCTGTTCCTTTCTCTTGTTGATGCCAGAGAGTTAACTCAGATGACAAGAACATAAGGTAATAACAGTAAAGTGCTGCAAATAATTATACGAGACAATTAAAGCCAATGTGTAATGTTCATACTCCTTTCAGACTTATCCTGAGCATCTTGTAGTTTGTTAAACCCATCCAAATACTTACATGATGGCAATATAATAATATCCAAGGGCCTGAATGTCTATGGAGATTCCCAGTCATCCAGGTCATGGTTGTCCCAAAGATGGTTTTTGAAATGGCAACTGGTCTTCGTTTTTCCTTGGTCTTTGTTTTTCCTTTTCTCTTCTCATCTAAGAAGCCTCTTCAATTCTTGAGAATGGTGGAGAGTAGAAGGATTTACTGTATATTCCTTGCAATCATCTGGTCGATAGTACTCTTTCTGAGAGCCATTAAAGCCACATGGAGGTTTATCTATGCAATTCAGCAGTTCCAAGAAGATTTCATGCCCATTTGCACTATTCAGGTGACCTGAAGGACACAGATAAAACCTCCAAGTGGCCTCAACAATTCTCAGAAAGAGTACTAATTACCAAATGACTGCAAGGAATATAGATCTTCCCATTTTCCACCATTTGGTCAGAACTGAAGAAGCTTCTTGGATGAGAAATGAAACATTTTCAAGGAAAAAGGAAGTTCAGTTAACTTTTGAAAAAGCAACTTTGGGACATCTAAGGGGCTTTCACAAAGAAGTAGAGGGTGGGGTCATCTTAGTCTCCAAGGCACCTTAGGACAGGACAAGAAGTAATGGATAGAACCTTATCAAGGAGAGATCACAACTTGCCTGCAGAAGTTGTGGGTGCTCCATCACTAGAGGTTATTACAAAGAGATTGGACAGCCATTTGTCAGAAATGGTATAGGGTCTCCTACTTGAGCAGGAGGTTGGACTGGAAGACCTCCAAGGTCCCTTCCAACTCTGTTATTTTGTATTTCACAATGAAAATCAGCCATATTCTTGTTTTCTAGAAATGAAAGTTGAAGAGATACAAGATGAAGATACTTTGGATTCTACATGTCCTGTCAGCAGCATTAAGATCTCTGATGAAGTTAAAGATGAAGACATTCTCCCTTACATTGAGCAGTTTGAGAAAGAAGTTCAAAATGAAGTTATTCTCCTGGGCAATTTTCCATTCAAACAGGTCAAAGTGGAGTATCAACAGTCTGACTCATGACATGCTTCATAACTAGTTTTACACATCTGACACATAGCCAAGTTGGTGTCACAGTCTCTTCCACTTGACATTTTAACAATTGGGCTCCAGAATCTCCCTGCAATTCCTGATAGCCTTTGAACATGACTCCCAAACCCTTCAAAAAAATTCCACCAAAGTGTAATCTTTTAAGGGATGGAAAGAGGAAATTATTAAATACATGGGGATTGTTTATATTAATGTCATTATTTTAATCAAATATCCATATCATAATCTTACCTGCTTCTTTGTCATGGTGCTTCCTGAACCTTGGAAATAAGGTTGTTCAATTGTTGAAGTTGAAATTGCCCAAAGAAACAAGAAAATAAAGGCAGGCATGAAAACCAATGAGTGAAGAAAAGGGTATCCCAAATGCCGGAGAGGAAAATTGTATTAATCTAGATTGACATATTTCAAATGAATCCCCTTTTCAGATATATAATATAAAAATTAAAAGATACAAAAGCACTGAGACAACAAATAGGTCAAAACACTTCACTTGCTTTCCAGTTATAGATAATTCAATGGTGGTACTAACCTTTGTATAGAAGTTACCAAAAGCATTATAAAAACATTCAGATGTGATGCTTGATTAATCTCCATAACTCTAAAGTAGGCATAGAGCCTGAAAAAAAATACTATTAAAGATAAAAGTGAATGGTTTTATAATTAGTTACTATTGCTTAAAATATTATTGTGTTTTCTTTATTGCACCATAGATAACAAAAGTAGGCATAGAATTTACTCTCATGACTCACTTTAATTTCTATGAAACTAAAAATGACTTTTGGTCTTTCAGCATTTGTGCATATTCGGATTGATAGCAAACCATTTATCAAGCGATTAGTTATAAGATCCTTACCTAAAAATAATGGGATCATATTCTCAGTAACAATGTGTTCTTTTATGTGTAGGATTATCTTGATTTAGCTAAAAATTCTGTCTTAATATTTAAACAATATTATTTTTTTGACTTAAATACTATGGTTAAAGCATAAGAAAAGGTTTTTTTAAAAAAAATTCTGGCTTTTTTAATCAAATAAAATTGATTTGCAGTCAAACATAAATATATAATAATATATTACTCAAAAGCATTCTATCCTGTTCCCACATTTTAAAAGAAGAACTAGAAATCTGGAAAATGTAGTGAAGACTAAGCAATGAATTGTCATAGCATATAACAGGACCATTTTGGCTTTTCTCTTCATGAATAAGCATGACAATAGTTCTTAAAATGCTGTTTCCCCCAAATTCATGTGGACAGGACTACCAGTTCCCTTAAATTATTAATTGTGGAACATTTAGGTAACCACAGAAAACAAAATATTGAACCCAATTAGTCAGAAACTACAATTAAGTAGTATATAAGAACAGTGGGTCTCCTCACTGGGTTTTTCGAAGGAAAGATGGCTTCAAAACACTGGATCAATTGGAATTCAACTCTGCAATTCAACTCTGCAATTTGTACTGCAGCAGTTTTTATTGCCTGCACTTACATTGAAAACTAATGCATGCCTACTTAGAAGAAGCTCCATTCAATTCACTGGGAATTAGTTTTGAGTAAGCAAGCATATGATTGCATGGTTTAAATATGATATCTTCTATAGATTATTTATAGCACAGTCCCATTAGGAGATTAGTGCAATGTAAATGAGAGCAGAATATAAATATTTTTGGTTCTGTTAGGTAATTTAATAAATATATAATCTTCCTAGGGTTATATAATCTTAAACCTGAACTGAAGTATTTAAATGAATAGAACGGTCCATAGTTTATGGACTATTAAAAATTGTTTATGAGGACTTTTGACATCTTTCTATCATATCTGCTATTAAATGCTAGTTTTCTACTTTCTTAGGCCCGGATCCATTGCAATAGATATTCAAATGTTTCTACATCTGTAACTACCAAATATTTTTCCTTAACTGGAAAGGGAACATTTGAATCCACATGTTATAGAACGTATAGAATTTAATTAGTTCTTAATAGTCACAATTATCTCTTCAATCATTTAATTGGGTTTTTACCTTTTTATGGTACTCTAATTGATTTGTCAGTTGCCTTCAGGTAGGAATTTAAAGGTATTTCATCACTTACATCAGGGGTAGTCAACCTTGGCTCTTTTATGACTCGTGGACTTCAATTCCCAGAATTCCTGGCTCAGAAATTCTGGGAGTTGAAGTCCACGAGTCATAAAAGAGCCAAGGTTGACTACCCCTGACTTACATGTTACCTTCGGGGCATCTACTCATTGTCCCATTTATTAGACTGTCAGCTCTTTCCACAATAAGACATACCACCCACCCTTTACAGGTATAAAATATATTTCACGGTGAATAATACAATAATAATGTTATTCTAAAATACACATTGCCCTGATATTGGCCTTAAAAAGTATTATGGATACTAATAGTCCATGTATTTTTTGATTAATTGGTATTGCTGTTTGTCAAAATCTTGCCCTACTATATAATACTTTGTTAAATATAAATAGAAGTATTACATGTATATTATAATATGTAAATAATATAATATTTTCTGTACTTCCTGTTAGAACATCATGTCACCTGATGTTTTAAGCAATTTACACTGCATGGATTCATTTCTATAGCTAAGATGAATCATTATTCTTACCAAATGTTTAAATAATAGTTATAATAAATATACTTCTCAGAATTTAAACATTTGAAACTTTCTTTTATATAGGCTTTAAAATATGAAGATATTTTCCGAGATGAAAAGTTCAGTAGAAGACTTCCTAAACTATTTCAAAGGTATGAATATTTGGGCATAGTTCCTGTATAATAATCCTACATATAAATTAAGGAAAGTAAGCATTTAATGGAAATTAGAGCTGAGCTCAATATATTACAGAATTATGGTCATTGAAAGAGTCTGCAGTAGTTAGCTAGTAGAAATGTTGCATAGGGTAATTTTTATCTTTTAAGAAATAGGTGTTTTGATTTGTCTATATATCAGTACTGAGATATTGCAAGGAAATTGATAGCAATTACTTTGTTTTTCCCAAAAAATTCTGATTTTGAATTGAGGATTACTGTTTACTGTTAAATATTTTGACAAAACAAGGATTGTGATTGAAACAAATCTGTGAAAATTATATAATTGGAACAAGTTATTTTATATTTATAATTTTAAAATATGAATCACTACATTTGTTTAAAACCTTTACTTCTATCTGTTGCTGATATAATACCAAGCAACCATAGAAATACACAACAAGCACTAGCTATTTTTTATTCCTAGAACAGGTATTGAAAAAGACATATAAATCTTTTGATCTATCCCTCCTGCAGAGCCTTTTTTAAAATGACTCAAAGCTTGAAAAGACATTCTGTCAAAGATTAACTATTCAATTTTATCCTTGTCTAATTAAAAAAAGTACTATGCCTGAACACAAAACCAAATAAATATATACTCACCTAGCAAAATGTATTATTATGATTGTTATATTTATATCTCAACTTTGTTCCATCACATCAAAGAGAATGAATTTGGAGGAGGAATTATTTCACTATGTTTTTCCTTGAATTACCAACTCATTATTTCTACTAATTTTATTGAATTGCTGCTTTTTCTCAGCCAGACAGTTCACTATTCTGCAACTTCTAGCTATGTGAAAGAAAGAGAAAAATGTTGTATCTCTAAAAGAGATCAAATGGGGTAATGAAAACTGTTTACCTTCATAATTGTGTAATAGCTGCTAATAAAGGCAATAGATACAGTAGTTTAAAAGTAATAAAATCCACAACAAAGTGTATTTAATTTTAAATTGAATTGCAAGCAAATGGGTGTCCTAATGAAGCCCTGTGTCAATGCAGCTCTAACCAAATTAAGTGAAATAATTTCCATCATGAGCAAACTAAATAAGTACAAAGTTTCAAACCAACCATTCTTCCTGGGAAAAGAGGTTTTCGTGGATGATTCGACCGCAGGAATTAGATAAGAAAGTTCACAATAGAAGTTGCCTCTATTCCAGTTTTAGGGCAATTAGATTAAGCTTTGTTTAACCTTCAGGTCAAAGAACAAAAGGATGCTTCAGAGTCCTGGGTTGTTTATTTTGGACAGTGTTTCCCTGATTTCAGATAGCCATCGCCTGCCTCTTACCTTAAAATTTGAGTCACACTTCACTTTTACTCTTGTACACTTTTAATTTTTTGTTTATATAATCATATCACTTTCAGAGACAGTCTTTTCTGACAGCTGATAATTTTGGGATTGGGTTTGATTGATCCAGGGAAATCCTGGATCAGTCTAAGTATTATACTAGTAAGTGAGATCTAAGAATTTATACTAGTCTTACCTTGGATTCTGGACAATATCTAATATAACATATTATTTCACACGGTAGAGTCATGGCAAAGATTCAAATATTTGGTAAGATAAATGATAAATGTATTATTGAAAGAATGGTCTGATGACAATATATCCATGACATGGAGGAAGTTCTCCATGCTAATTTCATCATATCTAATCCTCACAAGAGGGGAGCAGTGTAAAACAGAAGTCCTGCTTAAGCACTCATTAACCATGTGATTGCAATTACATGATGGGGCTATATTTTTTAACTCAGCCAGCTGAGGTATAACTCTATTGGCTCCAAATCCTCTGCCATATAATTGTGCTGAAGCACCTCCAGCAGGCAGCCTTTTGTATGGCTATAAACTTTCCATGTAATTTAAACCTCAGTTCTAAATGGAATATTTAGCTTACAGGAAAATAGTACAAGGTGCAATGAATCACACAAGCACAGTCAAGATGCCCATTAGGTTAATGGGGAGGA